GCGATAAATGCAGTGACTGGCCTCGAGTTCAGGGTAGGGGAGACTCCCTGGCTCCTTTCGTACTACCAAACGTTATAGGGGCTACCGTCAGTGTCAGGGTGCTGTAGGGGTACACAGTGACGACCCGGCCACGCCCTAGCATCGATACGCTTTATCTTGTGAATTGCCCAGTTCATGAACTCGTTCGACTGCTGCTTGTGGGTGTCGACGCGACCCACGAAGTCGTCGATGCGACCTATATGAACTCTCGCATCTCTGCACGGCCGATCGGGTCAAAGGCATTGATGGTGTTTGCCGCCGCCTCCGGCCCTCGCCCGTTAGCCGCAACGCCACTCGGCATCCCCAGAGACTCCAATATCCCTTAATTAAGGAATATACCCTGAATTATAATAGGATCCCTCATATGAGTTAAGGAATCTTCTTTAATTGAGGGATATTGGCGTCTCTGGGTCCGTCCATGGAGGTGGGCCGCCAGGCGAAGCAATCATCGGCGCAGCCGCAGCCTCCAGCCCTGGCCCGGGCTCAGCGGTCCCTGGGCCGCCAGACGGAGCCTCCACTTGGAAGGGCAGGGGACTTAGTAAGTAGGTTATAAGTAGGGTTACAATTGGGGTAACTCCATTTAGGGTACTTATAACTCTACTTATAACCTACTTACTAAGTCCCCTGCCCTTCCAAGCAGCCCCAAGTACCGATGCTAGGCATGAGCGGAAGTCGCGACAGCAATGGTTCAAGCGCGGCTCTAAACCATCACACCCTAAAGCCCCAAACCTCAATCCCCATGCAAGGCTGAAATCTGAAATGCGAAGCCCCAAGTCAAGTACTAGAGCTTGAACCCCGAGCTTGCGAAACCCTAAACCCCAAACCCCAGTAGCTTTCAGACACACCAACCGGCCTGCAGCAGGGAGTTCCCTCGAAGCCCTGCGTCGCAACGGGATGTCTCAGGGGGCTTCGGGGCTTTGAGAGTTAAGACCCTAAACCCTATAATCTTATGTATATAAACCTTAATGCCCTTCGCGGTTTTTATCATTTTACTTACGTTTATTGATAAAAACCGCGAACGGGGATGAGCAAATGACCCGAAAAATCAAAAAAAGGCAAATATGCGCGAACGCATTGGGCAACATACTCGGTTGCTCAACTTTTTCGTTGCTTTTTTTTGCCTTTTTTTTTGAGAATCTGGTTGCCGGCATCCGTTCGCGGTTTTTTCAGTAAACTGATAAAAATCTGGTTGCCGGCATGCAGCTCGACTTTTTCGTGGCCTTTTTTTTGAGAATCTGGTTGCCGGCATCCGTTCGCGGTTTTTTTCAGTAAACTGATAAAAATCTGGTTGCCGGCATGCGTTCGCGGTTTTCTTCAGTAAACTGATAAAAACCGCGAACGGGTCGAGCAGCTCGACTTTTTCGTGGCCTTTTTTTTGAGAATCTGGTTGCCGGCATCCGTTCGCGGTTTTGTTCAGTAAACTGATAAAAACAGCGAACGGGTCGAGCAAAAAGGCCTAGGGTTTGGGCTCCAGGGTTTAGGGCCTAAGGTTTGGCTTTAGGGTTTAGGGCAGGGTTTGGGCTTTAGGGTTTAGGGCCTAGGGTCTGGCCTTAGGGTTTAGGGCCTAGTGTTTGGGCTCTAAGGTTTGGGCTCTGGGGTTTAGGGCCTAGGGTTTGGGCTTTAGGGTTTAGGGCCTAAGGTTTGGGCTCTAGGGTTTGGGCTTTAGGGTTTAGGGCCTAGGGTTTGGGCTTTAGGGTTTAGGGCGTAGGGTTTGGGCTTTAGGGTTTAGGGCTTAGGGTTTGGCTTTAGGGTTTAGGGCCCAGGGTTTGGGCTCTAGGGTTTGGGCTCTAGGGTTTAGGGACTAGGGTTTGGGCTTTAGGGTTTAGGGCCTAGGGTTTGGGCTCTAGGGTTTGGGCTTTAAGGTTTAGGGCCTAGGGTTTGAGCTTTAGGGTTTAGGGCCAAGTTTAGGGCGTAGGGTTTGGGCTTTAAGGTTTAGGGCCTAGTTTGACAAGCTAAGTTGTAGGTAGAACTCTTTGAGTGATGATGAAAAAACTTTATATTGCTTAATGTTATGGGATTCTATGGGTGGGTGGGTGTTATATCAAGACCGTAAATACAACTCTACTATAAAACTGCTCGACCCGGAGCTGCTGAACCCTAAACCCTAAACCCTAAACCCTAAACCCTAAACCTTAAACCCTAAACCCTAAACCCTAAACCCTAAGCCCTAAACCCTAAACCCTAAAGTTGCAGGGTTCTCTGGGAGCTCTGGGGTTGGTAGGGCATAGGCTCCGGGATGTGGGAACGTTCAGGGTTCCGAGTGGAGGTCAAGGAAACATGTAAGGCATGTCTTTTGGGGCCCAAAGTATCAAAAAGGGGCAGTGCAGCTTTTAAGCATTCCGTGCAGTCCGAGCCACGGGAGTAGAGCGACAGCGTCGCACCTTCTGCGCCGCCGTCGGTGGGTGTGGTAGAACCTCCGGCAATTATCAGCCAGTAACGGTCACGAAAGGGCCACCAAGGCGCACAACAGAGAAGCAATAGGAGCAGATGACAATGATCGTGCCCACAACACTGATTGCAAAAGAAAGCCCTAGCAACGGCTTCACGTGCTGGGTGCCGAGCATCGAATTTTGCGGCTTGGGGCTTGCGGTCTAGTTCACGGCTTCACACAGAGGTTTTGGATTCAGCTCGAGGCGGTGAAGGCTTACAGGGCTCAGGGTTTACATATGTTCGGGTCGAGCGTTTAGGGCGTGGGATTTAGGGTCCAGGGCTCAGGATCTAGGGTTTAAGATTCAGGGTTAGGGGTTTAAGATTCTGTTGGCTAAGGGCTTAAGTCTTAAGTGTAGGGTTTAAGATTTAGGTTTACACCTGTAGCTTGCCCGGGATCCCTGGGACGACACACAGGGGATTTGCTGGCATCGGGCTTTTTGATGCTGTGGCAACCGCTCACTGGGCCCTCGAAGGCGTCGGTCTATCCGGAGGCCGGAAGACGAGCCGGAGGTCAAAACTTTACCGTTTCAAACTTGATAGAAGAAGGCCCACCCAGGCCAAGCAAGGAAGGTAACAGAAAAGACTGGTGTCCGTCCCTGTTCATGCTATAGTTCACAAAGGAAGCAGGAGGTCTTTCCAAAGACGCGGCATCTTTGCGCGGCCTAAGATAGGGCTTAAAGTCTAGGGCCATGAGGGTCTTCGGTGCTTGCCGTTGCTCGCAAAACGGTATGAGGCAGAGTGTGTTCATGGTTATGCTGTCGGAAACTCATCGGAGCTTTGCCGCACAGGAAGGCAGTTTGTGATGGTTCGCGGTGGCGAGTGGCGAGTGGGATGCTGTTGTCTTGGATCTTCGGGGAGCATGGGTCACTCTAATATAAGGGCAATAAAAAGTAGAACAGGGTCTTGGGGCCCAGTATACTAAGGAACTCCCAACATAGTGTAGGTAACTACTAAGGCCCCTATAGCAGTTTATTGTGGGATGCATGTTAAACACACACACACACACACACACACACACACACACACACACACACACACACACGAAGACTACGAGCGTATTACCCAACAGATGCTCCTCTGTGCACGGGCCATGCCTGGAATGACAACGCGAGTGCGAAAAGGCTCGATGTGCTCTGCCGGTGTATGTAGGCACACTGACTTCTGCAAATGTTGGTGTTGCTTTCACGAAAAGTGAGTAGTACAGGTCTGAAGAGGGTGACAGAGTCTAATCACTCCCCAGTGACTAGAGGCGCAGCCTATCTTTGACAAAGACCGCGTCGGTAGCATCTTGGCCAGTTCCTCCCAACAAGCACCGGCCGCGATGCCCACGACATGAGCTGCAGCGCGGGTTTTGAGGGCACTAGCATCCCGGGAAATGCTATCTCTAAGGTTTGATAAACATCCGACCTCCGAGGCCAAAAATCCAAAGCCTACTGTAAACTGCTGATACATGCCATATTGGCACTTCCGGTCCTCACAACCACGCCAGAGTTTCGGCAAGACTGAATTTGGATGGGCAGGCCTCTCACTGCGTTAGATGAGTAGAATGAGGCTCGTTTGAGTATGTTATACTATGATTGTATGAAGGACTCCCCACTTGGAGGGTCGGGGGACTTAGTAAGTAGGTAGTAAGTAGACTTATAAGTACCCCAAAAGGGACCCTAGTTGGGGTTAGGATACCGCATTACTAAATGTTCAGGCATCTACAAAGAGCTTCTAGCTTATGTCGCATAACCCAGAAACTCCAATATCCCTTAATTATTGAATATACCTCAAATTATCATAGGATCCCTACTATGATTTAAGGAATATTCCTTAATTATGTGTTATTGGAGTCTCTGGGAACATGAGTCGGGATTCGAGTGCGGCAGCTTTTTTGCATAGACCACGGAGCTGCTGCTTCCTCGGAGCTCAGACCCTAGCCTATCAAAGGATTAGTCTGTAGGAGCATAGACATGGATCCATGGACAGATAGACAGATAGCTAGATAGATAGATACATAGATATGCACATATACATATATGAACAGATAGAGATATGAATAGATACACATGCATAAATGACATGTATATGCACGTGTTTATATATGTATATATAGAAATATACATGCATGCATACATACGTATGCATATTTGTGTGCATTTATATACAGATATATACACATCTACATTTTGTATAGACATGTGTATATATATATATATATGTGTGTGTGTGTGTGTGGAAGACCATTGGAAGACCTGTATACCAAACAGGCTGAGTTTACCGTCTACCTACCCAGCCCCAAAGACTTGAAGCATGTGAGTCGAAGTGACAAGCCTTTCTGTGTGAGAAGCCTTCCGTCCGCTTCCGAGCATCAGAAGCCCTGACATCTAATTCTTGGGGAAGGCACTTGAAATCTGAGCCATCCTGGATTTCGCTCATTCTCGAAGGGGCGTGCCTGCCACTAACTGCTAGTTCTGGCAGTTGCTAGGTCGCATCGAAAAACGAAACCCACAGCATCGAGCAGAAAACCAGAATACAAGGCCAGTCTCTCATTCGACCTTCGTTCTGTACTTGGGGTTGCACCGGAGCCAAACTGGTGCGTCGCGTTGGTACGCGATGCCGACCTTCCTGCTGTGCTGCTTTGCAAAGTTCTCCACGATGATGTTCTCTCTCGGCATGCCTGCATCCTCGCTGCTTCGACACCCTGAAACCCAAAGCAACGTCAGAAGTATGCAATTGAAAATTCCCGACTAAGGTTCGGGTTACCCAGGCTAGGACTCGAGCGCTCTCTCACAGCGATTACAAGCTCCACACCTTCATGACCCTTCATGATTCCAAGTACTCTGCTCACCGCACCAACACCACCGCCACCAAAAGCACCAGAGCCACCTCCACCAGCGCCAGGACCACCACCCGCGAACAACAAAAAAAAACTTCCACTCATCCTCTCCCTGCTGCTGGTGCTCCTGCTACGTTCTGCTGCTGCTCCTGCTACTAAGACTACTACTGCTACTGCCGCTGCTGAGCCTGCCACCACTCCTCTGCTTCTAGTGCTCTTGCCGCTCCTTCTGCCCCTCCTGCTGTTGCTTCTGCTGCCGCGACCGCCACCACCATCACACCACCACCACACCAGCACCATACCAGCACCACACCAGCACCACAAGAACAGTGTGGGTGGTAGGGGAGCAGCATGAGGATAACGACGAGCACCATGCCCATGCTTGACTGTGATGGTATGTGTACAGCAGTTACGTTATGTTGATGATGATAATCTTGACATTGAGTGACAGCTATGACGATGATGATCTTGACATTGAGTGACAGCTACGCGATGAAGCGATGATGCCGATGTGATGATGGTACTGTGCAGCTCAGCTCCCGAGCTACACAACTGGAAGAAGACATAACCCAAACAGGTCCAGTTCCTGTCCACACCCAAACCCTAGACCTAAGCCATCAAACTCACACCAACCACCAACCCTAAACCTTAAACACTCAAATACCCTAACACCTAAACCCGAAGCCCTAAACCCTTACACCCCTAAACCCTCACAACGGCGGCCTGCAGGGCAGCCACGGACTTCTTCACCATGGTGCTGGTACCGCAAAGGAAGGCGCAGCTGCGGTCGGGGTCCTGTTCGGGTTTAGGGTTTAGGGTTTCTGCAACGGGAACCGGAACCTAGTTTGTTTTACATGGGCTCGATTGGTGTTGCTTTTCATCCGGGATTTATTTCAATGTTCCTGCTAAGGAAGTCAAGTTACCATCAACGGGAAGGCAGATTCTTTATATACTTCATACGGCTATGTACCCCTACTACGGCAACTATGTACCCCTACTACTGCTTTTGGCTTTAGGTTGCATGGCTCGTAGTCGACAGTCTACACTTGGAGGTTCATGGGTAGTTATAGGTAGGGTTTTAAGTCCCCTAATATGGGATATAATTATGGTTCACCCTACTTATAACCCCACTTATAATTACCCATGAACCTCCTAGCAGGGAACCCAAGAAGTCGTTAGGGACGCTCTAGCTTGCTCGTCTCTTGTACACTCGGAAGCCTAAACCCAAAACGGTTTAGGGTTTTAGGGTTTAGGGTTTTAGGGTTTCAGAGTTTAGGGTTTAGGGTTTAGGGTTTTAGGGTTTAGGGTTTAGGGTCTGAGACAAGAAAACTGGGAAGGCCCATCGATTCAAGCTTCTCGGCGCGTGCAAGACGACGGTTTGCGGTGAAGGCTCAGGGAACTTAGCAACTGTCGGTAGCAGTATATAGCTTTATCGTTCTAAACTTCGGCTGCCAGCAACTAGTTCTGTAGCCACACAAACAGTGAAGCCCTTCACGCTGAGCTCTACACCCTGAAGCCCCTAATACAGGGGCCTTAGTAATTAGAATGGTGATAATTGTAATAAGGAGCCCGCAAACCCCAGTTTGGGTGTATATTAATATTAGACTATTAGACTATTAGACTATAATTGTACTAAGGGACCCCCTAAAACCCCATTCAAATGATTATTCAGGCCCCCATATTTTCGACCCTCCAGGCCCCAGGTCGTTTCAGCTCGGAAGGCGCCGGCCCCCCCCCGTTGCACAACCCTGTAGGCCCTCATCAAAGAATGCACACATACATACATATATCTAATATATAAATAAATATATATGTATATATATATATACATATATATATATATAGGTACATACATACATACATACATAAGTACATATGTAACCCTTATACGAACCCTGACAGTAATCCTTTGAACACAACACTTCGTAAATCTCCCTTGTAGCAACCCTTTGAAGAACTGCACCACACTCTAAACCCTAAACCCTAGAACCTAAACCCTCGACCCTAAACCAGCAACCTTAAACCTTCGACCCTCGACCCTAGACCCTAAACCCTAGACCGTCTAGACCCTAAAGCCTAAACCCTTAACACCAAGCCAGCCGGTCTCTAAGGCCACGGCCCCCAGCTTGGGGATGCGCTCCCACACGTTGCCCCTCTCCTTAGTTTGTGTAGGGCTTACCATAACCTGCCAGAGCCTGCTTTTTGGTGAGGTCCCTATAAATTCCATATTAGGGTTTATCATCAGAACCCCAAGAAGTAGGGGAAAGATACAGGATCTAGCAAACATGTGGCGATCCTAGATGTGACTTTCAGAAAACCAGGTGTGTATCCTTATGAAGATCCTAGTTTATGAGATCCGCGTTATAAAGGACGCCTCAAGCAGGCGCCCCTACATGTACTAGCAGAAGTGGGATCCTTAATGTAGGGGCCTCAATATTAGTATTATACTATATACTTACATATAACAAGGAACCCCCAAAACCCTATTCTAATCGTTAGGTCCCTGACATTACATGAGCACCTCTTCTGCCTCCGTATCCTATTTCGGCCCATATGCTTGCAAGCATAAAGCCTGCACCTGGGCGCCAAGCAAGAGCAGCGAAGCTAGCGGCCTGAATACTTGCAAGAAGGTATGGAGTCTAACATAAGACAGCTATCTTAAGGAACCACAAGAAGTAGCGATGGTAAGTATTCCGACCCCTTTTATGACAGTCTCCGTCCCTGGTCTCTGGAGCCCTAACCCGTCCAGAGCCTGGCCTCGGCTGTGTGGAGCCATACCATCTTCGATCCCGAAGCCCTAAATGGGAGTTTCCGAAAATTTCGGGGTACCTCCTTATAATAAGGATCCTACTATTTAACGTACTATATTATTAGGGTCCCCTATTTTCGGAAACTCGCAAATGTCACACACACACACACACACACACACACACACCCTAGGCCCAGCGTCGTACTTGGCGTTCTGTGCCGGCGGGTGCCGCGTGAGGATGGTGACCTGATGGCTTAGGGATGCTTATGGGCACCTTGTTTTCAGTAGGTGATGCTAAAGCACACGTGCATGATGCTACACAGTACTTGGACATGTGAGGTGCCGCGATATTTACGGACAGATATTCAAAGTAGACAACAACAGCAACAGCAGCAGCAGCAGCAGGAGCAAGAAATGCAGCGACGAATAATAATGATGCTACTAAGAACAACAACCCCATAACCACAACCACCACCACCACCACCACAACAACAACAACAACAACGACAAAAGTAGGAACAACAGCAGTAGGACAACTATTAATCATGACAGTATTCATAACAAGCAATAGAATATTGACAACAATAACAATAGCAAGATAAGAATGATCCTGTTGTCCATCACAAAAAATTATTACCAGTCAGAATAAGAAGACGAACAACAATAATAATTAAATTGCAAAAGCAGGAATAATGACAATAATAGCAAGTATAGAAGAATAATAATAGTGATGATAACGGTACTTTATCTCAGAATCGACCATTACTTTCAGCATCATGACGATTCAGATTACGGGTGCTGATAATCTGATACGCAAACCTTTTGATTGCCCAAACCGGGTGGTAACCCTATAGAGTTCTGATGCACCTGGTGTTAATTACTATGACAAGTATCACGCAGCGAACTAGGCTGGCCCCTAAATTTAGCACCCCCGAAACCTGCCTCAAAGTTCGGGTACTTTGCCGCAAGGTCTTCCCACTCGTCTGCGTACACGACGTCCTCCTCACCGTGCACCGAGTAGAGTAGGTGCACCTGGGCGGACTGTCGCAGAGTTGGAGGTCAGCATTTCTAAGGGTTCTACACGGCTTGTCAAGAGACTCACTGGTGTAGCCCTTAACTTAACTAGGTCATTGTTGGGATAGGATTAAAAAAAACGTACATTTTTATTCCTTATTGGGTTTAAGTACCCATAAACATGTAAAATGTTATCCAACTATGACAAAGTTAAGGGCTACTTAAGGATTTCGGACCCTTATACCACTACGGATGCTGGGCGTTTAAGGGCTTTTGGGGCGCTTTGGGCTGTGTTGTTGGAGGGGGCTAGGGGCTCTGAGCTCAGGGTTTTCGGGCTTCGGGGTTGGAGCTGAGGGCTTCGGAATTAGGGTTTAGGGTTTAGGGTTTAGGGTTTAGGGTTTAGGGTTTAAGGTTTAGGGTTTAGGGTTTAGGGTTTAGGGTTTAGGGCTTCGGCTTTAAAGCTGTGTTGCTAAGTTAGGGTAGCATCCTTCTCTGTCTCTCTGCCTAGCTGGATGAAGCACGGCAGCTTTGAGGGGTTTGCAGTAGAAGCCAGAAAGTTGGAATATCATTATCGTAACCCCTTTAAGGTAAATTATGGGGGGTTCCTACCATTAATTCATATGCCAACTTTCTGGAGTTCCATTTAGGGGTTTAGGGTTTAGGGAATTTGTAACTTCACGGCCTTTGGCATGGGTGATCTTAGAACTGCCCCTCGACGCATCTTGAAGGCACGGACCTTTAACCCGCAAAAGGACCCCAAACCCTAGACCCTACACCTCAACCGTCAGAGTCTCCACCTTAGTCTAAATCCTAAACCCTAAACCCTACTTTCAATGGCTCTTTCGACTGTTTAGGCTTTAGGGTTTAGGCTGTAGGGTCTAGGGTTTAGGCTTTAGGCTTTCGGGTTTAGGGTTTAGGCTTTAGGGTTCCGGGTTTAGGGTATAGGTTTCATGCTTTGGGGTCTTATTGGGGTTATGAAGGGGATACCGTTGCAAAATCCTCGAAGTGGTTCCTACCGCAAGGTTCAGGGTTCGGTAGGTTCGCTGCCCACATCCCGAAGCCCGAAAAACTCCCCATCACCCCACAGACACACACACACACATACCCCTAGAGTCCCCATACCTAGAAGCCCTTCAGCCAAAAACCCCAAGGCCTAAAGCCCCTACTTGTGGCCAAAAACCCTAGCTTTATATATATATATATATATATATATATATATATATATAGAAACCCTAGTAAGAGACCCTAAACAGGTAGGTCACAGGCAAGCCCTGAATCCCGCCAAAGCCACTTTGCCGGCGTGCCCTCGCCGCTCCAAAAGCTCGTGCGCGATGGATCGGAAGGGCGTAATCCCAACCCCGCTGGCCATCAAGAGGACATGGTCCTTGACCTCCACTTCTGGACCCTAAAACCCTCCACCCCCAAACCCTGCAGTGAAACCTTCACGGATGCTTCGGTTCTTAAAGGAACCCTTAAAGGAACCCTTAACGGAACCCTTAACGGAACCCTTAAAGGAACCCCTAAAGGCACTGATGTGCTTTTGGCTTTCTTTTGGGGGGCCGGGTTAGGGGCTGGGGGAGCTCGGGGAGTTTCGGCGCCAAAGCCTGGGGCCTTGAGCCTTGCGGATTTGAAGCCTTGAAGTTTGGGGTGCTCGGGTTTCGGATCTGCTCCGGGTTTAGGGCTTAGGGAGGTTTCAGCTTAGGGTTTAGGGTTTAGGAGTTTTGGGTTTAGGAGTTTAGGGTTTAGGAATTTTGGGTTTTGGGTTTCGGGTTTCAGTGGAGCTAGATCACAAACTGCTCAAACGAGGCAGGGTTTTGCCAAAATCTGCACTCCCCAGTCAGTCGTCCTAACGAACCCTCTATCTTCCGGCGAAGGCCTGTACATCGACCTTGTTTAAGGAGCCCTAAGCGGACGTTGCATCCCTGCTTGAAGAATACTAACCCATAGGACAGGGTTCTACCGTCAGAAGGATTCCTTTTTCGGGCTGTATACGGGTTCATTAAAGGGGGGTTCGGTACGCGGGCCCGAAAAGCTCCAGTAGGGTTTTGGGGGAGGGCATCTTGTGGTATACCTATATGTGGAGACCATAGTGGGACATGTTGACTAATTGACATAACTTTCATCGGACTTCTGTCTCAAGCACCCCAAAAGCCCATAAACCCACACAGCTTGCACCGTACACGAACATCAAACCCGAACCCTAAACCCTACACGCTAAACCCTAAAACCGAAACCCTAAACACTAAGCCAAAAAACCCGAAACCCTAAACACTAAACCCTAAACCCTGAACCGCAAGCCTAAACACTAAACCCTAAACCCGAAATCCTGAACCCTAAACTGGGCCCTGCAGGAAGCCTTCTCCTCTGTTGGAATGAAGTCTTCGCCCAGGTTGGGCACGACCATCACCTTGGAAAAGATGCAGCTTTGCGCAGGAGCACAGTTTGGGATTTGAGGTTAAGGTTGTGGGCTTAGCGATTGAATACTATAACTCACTGGCCGAAAACCCAAAAGAACATAAGTTGAAACTTTCAGAATCGACTACCTCATAAGAACCGCAAAAGTTGAAAAGTTGAGTTTACAGCCAATAAGATAATGGGCAATAATCTGGAATATGCCGCCTGAAGGTTTGAGTACTTTTCCCAACGGCTCCATGTACCCGTAGAGTAGGTACTTAGGCCTTAAAGTACCCATATAGGAACCCTTTTAAAGCCTAAGCACCTACTATATGGGTACATGGAGCCTCAGGGTTTAGGAATGGAGGAGTTCGGCTTCGAAGGATTGGAAGTTGGGTGGGTTGGAGCTGGGCAAAACCACCGAAACACACCGGCAGCTGGCATGCCAACAGAACGCGTATCCAAGCCCAAATCCCTAGAATCCCGATTACAAAGCAGATTGTGACGTTCTGCAGATTCGTCCTAAGGTTTGGGGGGTTAGGTGCTAGGGTGCCGCCCGGTTTAGGTGTCTGCTTTGTCTCCCTCAAGCTTTGAGCCCGGAACCGAGGCCTCATCCAGAAAGCCGAAGCTGCCAAACTCGAAATCCATCCGTGCTTTTAACAACCCGCAAAGAGCCCAATATCCCTGAATTCAGGAACATATCTTCACCCATAGCAGTAAGCCCCTGATGGCTTCAGGCAGATTCATTACACCTAAGGCAAAGATACTGGGCTCAAAGATAGCTCCAGATCCGCAGCGAAACCTGCAACACCGGGGCTGCTAAGTAAAACCCGAATTCCTGAGTTTAAGGTTTAGGGGTTAGGGTTCAGGAATGATTATAGTAGGGTGGGGTAGGTTCTGGCAAGATAGTATACTTCGTATTATAAGTATATTAGGAACTATGAGGGAATGACAACGCACGGTATTCCCTCCCAACCCGAACCACCTTCTCATGCAGCCCCGGGACGCCAGCGCCCGGCTGCAAGTTGAAGAGACGAGGAGTCCCATAGCCCTTCCTCAAGAGGGTTGAGGGGTTTAGGGGTTAGGGTTTAGGGACTTAGGGGTTTATGGTTTAGGGGTTCAGGGTTTAGGGGTTGAGGGGTTTAGGGGTTAAACGGTTAGGGTTTAGGGACTTAGGGGTTTAGGGTTGAGGGGTTTAAGGGGGGTCTATCAATTACCAATACTATTTTGGGGGCTCCTTTCTATAATCATAGTGTAATGGGCACCAAAACCCTAGCCCCTATACTGTAGTACCCTTTTAGATCCCTTATGGTAGCTCTTATAAGGAGCCCTTTAAAGGGACCCTATTCTTACTATGAAGGCCCCTATATTATTAGATTGGCAGGAGAGGTCGCAAGATGAGTTTTCGGATCTCACACGGCTGCCATTCCTGCACAACTCTACGGCAAAGCCTGGAATGCAGGCGGTACCAGGTTGGGTATGCTCGCACTACTGCCAGCCCGAAATCGTCCGAACTTCGTGACGGTTTAGGGTTTAGGGTTCAGGGCTTTACAACATGTAGCCGACCTCAAGCATTCCAAACAAAACAAGCCTTAAACTCCTTCCGCTGCACCTAAAAGCGGTCGAAACCCGAACCCGGCGAGCCAGGGCCTCAGAAGCAGGATCTCCCGCTGCCTCAAACCCAGTGCCCCCGATCGCAAACAACAAAACCAAAATCAAAAACAACTCACGGTCTAGGGTTTAGGGTTGAGGGTTTAGGGTATAGGGTCTGGGCCGTCAAGGCATCAACCCAAAACCCTGCAGCTCAAAACTCAAGCCACATTTCTCCGCCTCTCCCATCCCTACGCCCTGAACCCGAAACCCCAAACCCTACATCCTAAACCCTTAATCCCTAAACCCCTAAACCCTAAACCCCTGAACCCTAAACCCCTGAACCCCTGAACCCCTAAACCCTAAACCCTCCCCCAGTGCAGCCCGGAGTCTTGTCCAATTTCACAGTGACCTCGAGGGGCTCCTTGTGGAGTTTGAGCGCTTACACGGCTTTATGGGTTTGGGGGGTTCCTTTAAGGGTCCCTTTAAAGGGCTCTATAGGGATTCTATAAGGGTATAGGGTTTAGGGCTTACTTGGAGGCTCATGGGTAGTTATAAGTGGGGTTATAGGTAGGGTAACTATACTCATAGCCCATATTAGGGGAGTTATAACCCGACCTATAACATCAATGGACCTCCAAGTATGGTGTACCTGTGGCGCAAGAAACCTAGGGTTCCTTACGGGTTCCTTTATCATCATGGCTTCTGTATATAATTCCTTAGAAGACGTTTGGGTTTCGCTGCTTTCGGGGATTGGGGTGGGGCATGTGCGACATGTTAGCCACCCGAAGCTCAGCCATTGTCTGGGTGCGTAAGATCCAACACGCGGGTTTACTGTTGATAGCAGACGGCTCTAGGCTGTTAGGGCTCAGGGCTGAGATTTTGTGCTTGGTTTCTCAGAGATATCTTTTCACCGACTCGGCTGTCCTTCGAGGGGTCAGCTGAGGAAATGGTATACCCGCGGTAGACGTTGCGCTTCTGGTCCACCTTTCACAGTAGACAACCGCGCTTCAGCCTTCCACGGCCCGTGGCAGACGATTGCAAACAGGTAGACTACAGCAAAACCCCTGAAGTAAGGAATATATCTTAGAGTATGAGGGGATCCTATGAGTTATTAGGGAAAAGACCTCAGGGGATCCTTACAATGAGTTCAGGTATATCCCTTAACTGAGGGATTTCGGAGTCTCTGGGAGGATGTGTACAGACAGGGCCGATGGATGACTTGCATCTATATTACTTCGCAGATATTTTAGGGTTTAGGGTTTAGGACTCAGGGCCAAGAAGGCATAGCAGGTCGACAGAGAGAGAGAGAGAGAGAGAGACAGAGAGATAGAGAGAGAGGGGCAAGAACAGTGACTTACAAACAGAAAGGAAAACGTGCAGTCCGACCAACCTGTGAAGGAATAGGCAGATGGATCAGTAAGTGGGCTGGCGGACCACCGGACGGAGAGCCCTACACTTTAAGCCCTAAACCATCAACGAGATGGGCAGAAGGGTCCTGCCTGTACCAGCGCATACTGACCTGCCTTGCCACCTGCCAGGCCCTGCCCGTCGAGCGTTCGGAATTTAAACTTCCGGGTGTCGCCACTCAAATCCTCGATGTCCACCAGCGTGGCCTGGTAGGGAATGGAGGAATGGGGTACAATTATAACTACTATCACTACCATTCTTCCATTCCCTACTAACCAAAGGTAAGTTTCGGGGTCTCTCTCGGCCATCTCTTCTAGGCCGGTCTGAAGCTCCGGTCTGAGTCTTTGGTGTCTAGGACAGCCACCAAAGCGATTCCAGCGAAGTACAGGGAAAGAGATAGAAAAGCACCATCTAAGCGTAGAACGAGAAGCCGCAGCAGGCTCACTACTCTTGCCACAGTTGCAATAACCATGCCTCTTACGACTCCCTAAACCCTAAACCCGACTGCAGGAAAACACAGGAAGCAGCCCTGAACTTGTCTGCATACCTGAATTGGATGCAGCAAATCGGACTGCACACCATGAAACCCAAGCCACCCCGGAGAAAGTATACAAAGCCATGCGGCATCTATGGGAACGTGCACCCGCAATATGCACGGAAGGTGCACGACAAGCAGTACGCATCACAAACCACAACTGCGCTTGGTGCATCCATGGTTTGCCCTGCTAGCCACATAGCTACCAACAGGGGCAGGAATATGGATGCAGCGCAACACAAGGAGCAGCACTCGACTTGTCTGCAGTTCGTTTCGGACGCCACCGAGCGGAATGTACACCAGGAAACCAAGGTGCCCCGAAGAAGGTGGGCTGCTGAGAATACACAGCCATGCGTCCTTCATGGGAACGTGCATCGCAACGTGAAGCGAAACTGCACGACAAGCAGCACGCATCACAAACCACAACTGCGCTTGGTGCATCCATGGTTTGCCCTGCTAGCCACATAGCTACCAACAGGGGCAGGAATATAGATGCAGCGCAACACAAGGAGCAGCACTCGACTTGTCTGCAGTTCGTTTTGGACGCCACCAAGCGGAATGTACACCAGGAAACCAACGTGCCCCGGAGAAGGTGGGCTGCTGAGAATACACAGCCATGCGTCCTCCATGGTAATGTGCATCGCAACATGCAGGAAAGTACACGACAAGCACGCATCACAAACCACAACTGCGCTTGGTGCATCCATGGTTTGCCCTGCTAGCCACATAAAAACCAACAGGGGCAGGAATATAGATGCAGCGCAACACAAGGAGCAGCACTCGACTTGTCTGCAGTTCGTTTTGGACGCCACCAAGCGGAATGTACACCAGGAAGCCAGGGTGCCCCGGAGAAGGTGGGCTGCTGAGAATACACAGCCATGCGTCCTCTATGGGAAGTGCACCGCAACATGCAGGGAAAGTGCACGACAAGCAGCACGCATCACAAACCACAACTGCGCTTGGTGCATCCATGGTTTGCCCTGCTAGCCACATAGCTACCAACAGGGGCAGGAATATAGATGCAGCGCAACACAAGGAGCAGCACTCGACTTGTCTGCAGTTCGTTTTGGACGCCACCAAGCGGAATGTACACCAGGAAACCAACGTGCCCCGGAGAAGGTGGGCTGCTGAGAATACACAGCCATGCGTCCTCTATGGGAATGTGCATCGCAACGTGCAGGGAAAGTGCACGACAAGCAGCACGCATTACAAACCACACCTGCGCTTGGCGCATCGATGGTTTGCCCTGCTGGCCACATAGCAACCAACAGGGGCAGGAATATGGATGCAGCGCAACACAAGGAGCAGCACTCGACTTGTCTGCAGTTCGTTTTGGACGCCACCAAGCGGAATGTACACCAGGAAACCAATGTGCCCCGGAGAAGGTGGGCTGCTGAGAATACACAGCCATGCGTCCTTTATCGGAAAGTGCACAGCAACATGCAGGGAAATCGCACGACAAGCAGCACGCATCACAAACCACAACTGCGCTTGGTGCATCGATGGTTTGCCCTGCTAGCCACATAGCTACCAACAGGGGCAGGAATATAGATGCAGCGCAACACAAGGAGCAGCACTCGACTTGTCTGCAGATCGTTTTGGACGCCACCCTGCGGAATGTACACCAGGAAACCAAGGTGCCCCGGAGAAGGTGGGCTGCTGAGAATACACAGCCATGCGTCCTCTATGGGAACGTGCACCCCAAATTGCAGGGAAAGTGCCCGACAAGCAGCACGCATCACAAACCACAACTGCGCTTGGTGCATCGATGGTTTGCCCTGCTAGCCACATAGCTACCAACAGGGGCAGGAATATAGATGCAGCGCAACACAAGGAGCAGCACTCGACTTGTCTGCAGATCGTTTCGGACGCCACCCAGCGGAATGTACACCAGGAAACCAAGGTGCCCCGGAGAAGGTGGGCTGCTGAGAATACACAGCCATGCGTCCTCTATCGGAAAGTGCCCAGCAACATGCAGGGAAAGCGCACGACAAGCAGCACGCATTACAAACCACAACTGCGCTTGGTGCATCGATGGTTTGCCCTGCTATCCAATAGCTGCCAACAGGGGCAGGAATATAGATGCAGCACAACACAAGGAGCAGCACTCGACTTGTCTGCAGTTCGTTTTGGACGCCACCAAGCGGAATGTACACCAGGAAACCAAGGTGCCCCGGAGAAGGTGGGCTGCTGAGAATACACAGCCATGCGTCCTCTATGGGAACGTGCACCCGCAATTGCAGGGAAAGTGCACGACAAGCAGCACGCATCACAAACCACAACTGCGCTTGGTGCATCCATGGTTTGCCCTGCTAGCCACATAGCTACCAACAGGGGCAGGAATATAGATGCAGCGCAACACAAGGAGCAGCACTCGACTTGTCTGCAGTTCGTTTTGGACGCCACCAAGCGGAATGTACACCAGGAAACCAAGGTGCCCCGAAGAAGGTGGGCTGCTGAGAATACACAGCCATGCGTCCTTCATGGGAACGTGCATCGCAACGTGAAGCGAAACTGCACGACAAGCACGCATCACAAACCAAACTGCGCTTGGTGCATCCATGGTTTGCCCTGCTAGCCACATAGCTACCAACAGGGGCAGGAATATAGATGCAGCGCAACACAAGGAGCAGCACTCGACTTGTCTGCAGTTCGTTTTGGACGCCACCAAGCGGAATGTACACCTGGAAACCACGGTGCCCCTGGCGAAGGTGGGCTGCTGAGAATACACAGCCATGCGTCCTTTATCGGAGAGTGCACAGCAACATGCAGGGAAAGCGCACGACAAGCAGCACGCATCACAAACCACAACTGCGCTTGGTGCATCCATGGTTTGCCCTGCTAGCCACATAGCTACCAACAGGGGCAGGAATATAGATGCAGCGCAACACAAGGAGCAGCACTCGACTTGTCTGCAGTTCGTTTTGGACGCCACCAAGCGGAATGTACACCTGGAAACCACGGTGCCCCTGGCGAAGGTGGGCTGCTGAGAATACACAGCCATGCGTCCTCTATGGGAACGTGCACAGCAACATGCAGGGAAAGCGCACGACAAGCAGCACGCATCACAAACCACAACTGCGCTTGGTGCATCCATGGTTTGCCCTGCTAGCCACATAGCTACCAACAGGGGCAGGAATATAGATGCAGCGCAACACAAGGAGCAGCACTCGACTTGTCTGCAGTTCGTTTTGGACGCCACCAAGCGGAATGTACACCAGGAAACCAACGTGCCCCGGAGAAGGTGGGCTGCTGAGAATACACAGCCATGCGTCCTTTATGGGAACGTGCATCGCAACATGCAGGAAAGTACACGACAAGCACGCATCACAAACCACAACTGTGCTTGGTGCATCAATGGTTTGCCCTGCTGGCCACATAGCAACCAACAGGGGCAGGAATATGGATGCAGCGCAACACAAGGAGCAGCACTCGACTTGTCTGCAAATCGTTTTGGACGCCACCAAGCGGAATGTACACCAGGAAACCAACGTGCCCCGGAGAAGGTGGGCTGCTGAGAATACACAGCCATGCGTCCTCCATGGTAATGTGCATCGCAACATGCAGGAAAGTACACGACAAGCACGCATCACAAACCACAACTGCGCTTGGTGCATCCATGGTTTGCCCTGCTGGCCACATAGCTACCAACAGGGGCAGGAATATAGATGCAGCGCAACACAAGGAGCAGCACTCGACTTGTCTGCAAATCGTTTTGGACGCCACCAAGCGGAATGTACACCAGGAAACCAACGTGCCCCGGAGAAGGTGGGCTGCTGAGAATACACAGCCATGCGTCCTCTATGGGAACGTGCATCGCAACGTGAAGCGAAACTGCACGACAAGCAGCACGCATCACAAACCACAACTGCGCTTGGTGCATCCATGGTTTGCCCTGCTAGCCACATAAAAACCAACAGGGGCAGGAATATAGATGCAGCGCAACACAAGGAGCAGCACTCGACTTGTCTGCAGTTCGTTTTGGACGCCACCAAGCGGAATGTACACCAGGAAACCAACGTGCCCCGGAGAAGGTGGGCTGCTGAGAATACACAGCCATGCGTCCTCCATGGTAATGTGCATCGCAACATGCAGGAAAGTACACGACAAGCACGCATCACAAACCACAACTGCGCTTGGTGCATCCATGGTTTGCCCTGCTAGCCACATAAAAACCAACAGGGGCAGGAATATAGATGCAGCGCAACACAAGGAGCAGCACTCGACTTGTCTGCAGTTCGTTTTGGACGCCACCAAGCGGAATGTACACCAGGAAGCCAGGGTGCCCCGGAGAAGGTGGGCTGCTGAGAATACACAGCCATGCGTCCTTTATGGGAACGTGCACCGCAACTTGCAGGGAAAGTGCACGACAAGCAGTACGCATCACAAACCAAACTGCGCTTGGTGCATCCATGGTTTGCCCTGCTAGCCACATAGCTACCAACAGGGGCAGGAATATAGATACAGCGCAACACAAGGAGCAGCACTCGACTTGTCTGCAGTTCGTTTTGGACGCCACCAAGCGGAATGCACACCAGGAAACCAAGGTGCCCCGGAGAAGGTGGGCTGCTGAGAATACACAGCCATGCGTCCTCTATGGGAATGTGCATCGCAACATGCAGGAAAGTACACGACAAGCACGCATCACAAACCACAACTGCGCTTGGTGCATCAATGGTTTGCCCTGCTAGCCACATAGCTACCAACAGGGGCAGGAATATGGATGCAGCGCAACACAAGGAGCAGCACTCGACTTGTCTGCAGTTCGTTTTGGACGCCACCAAGCGGAATGTACACCAGGAAACCAACGTGCCCCGGAGAAGGTGGGCTGCTGAGAATACACAGCCATGCGTCCTCTATGGGAACGTGCATCGCAACATGAAGCGAAACTGCACGACAAGCAGCACGCATCACAAACCAAACTGCGCTTGGTGCATCCATGGTTTGCCCTGCTAGCCACATAACTACCAACAGGGGCAGGAATATAGATGCAGCGCAACACAAGGAGCAGCACTCGACTTGTCTGCAGTTCGTTTTGGACGCCACCAAGCGGAATGTACACCAGGAAACCAACGTGCCCCGGAGAAGGTGGGCTGCTGAGAATACACAGCCATGCGTCCTCTATGGGAATGTGCATCGCAACATGCAGGAAAGTACACGACAAGCACGCATCACAAACCACAACTGCGCTTGGTGCATCCATGGTTTGCCCTGCTAGCCACATAGCTACCAACAGGGGCAGGAATATGGATGCAGCGCAACACAAGGAGCAGCACTCGACTTGTCTGCAGTTCGTTTTGGACGCCACCAAGCGGAATGTACACCAGGAAACCAACGTGCCCCGGAGAAGGTGGGCTGCTGAGAATACACAGCCATGCGTCCTCTATGGGAACGTGCATCGCAACATGAAGCGAAACTGCACAACAAGCAGCACGCATCGCAAACCAAACTGCGCTTGGTGCATCCATGGTTTGCGCTGCTAGCCACATAGCAACCAGCAGGTTCATTCAGACAGACCGACGAGAAAAACAGGGAGACTGCTCGCAGCATGCAACCAGCTGCTCAGACATCAAATTCAAGGATCCAGCAGGCCACAAGTCAAAGATATCGAGAAAGCTGAAAGGATTGATATTTTGTACATATATATATATATATATACAGGTTAATATGTAAATAAGAGAGAGAGAGAGAGAGAGAGAGAGAGAGAGAGAGAGAGAGAGAGAGAGACACACAGAGAGAGAAAGGAACAGAGATTGAGACAGAGAGCGAAGCCAGGGACGCGAGGCACGGCCCTTGCGGGTGTGAAGTGCACCTAAAAGCCTGCAAAACCCTAAACAATCCGGCGGAAATCTGCAAAAAACATCCTGGCCTGCTTCGCAGGAGCTGGCACATTCGGGGAGCTGCGTGGGTTCGGGTGCTCGTTGACGTTGGGCGCACGGAACTCGAGGATCTGTTGGGCGCAATACCACACACAGGAGCCGCACCTGGTGTGCTGGAGGGGGTTGCTTTAAGGGTTTAGGGTTTAGGGTTTAGGGTTTAGGGTTTAGGGTTTAGGGTGGGTCCCTATAGAGGGTTAGGGTTTAGGGTTCAGGAAGGGTCCCTATAAAGGGCTAGGGGTTAGGGTTTAGGGTTTAAGGGTCCCTTAGCAGGGATCTGTAGGGATTCTATGAGGGTCTACTACTTGGAGGCTCATGGGCAGTTATAAGTGGGGTTATAAGTAGGGTGACTATAACTATAACCCATATTAAGGGACTTCTAACCCCACTTATAACTACCCTTAAACCCTATAATCCTACTATACCCTAAACCCTAAACCCTATAGAACCCTTAAAGGAACCCTACTTAGTACAAGTCAGACTGGAGAGGTGGGGTACTAAACCTAGGATTTTAAGAAATACGAATAACAATTTTACTCAAGCCTCTCTAGTAGGGGCCCGTCCGCCCCAAACCGTGAACCATAGCAAGCCCTGAACCCTAGACCGGAGCCAAATCGGTAAACCCTCAAACCGGTGTAAGCGTTTAGGGCTCAGGGTTCCGGGTTTGGGGTCCGTGGGATCTCTGGTTGCTGTGCAGGTATCAGGGGCGGGTCCTTCTAATTATCATCTTTCTCCCGCAAAAAAAACCCAATAACCTTCGACTAAGGAATATTCGTTGAGTCGTAAGTTGTAGGGGCTTCAATACTATGCATAGGTTAAGGTATTTTCCTCAAAACCCTAAACCCTCAACCCTAAAACCCTAAACCCTAGATGCTAAACACTAAAGCCCCTAAAACTCTATAAGCCCTTAGCCAGAAATCGTCAGAGAAGAGGGCTCAGAGCCCGGCAATTGAAGAAACGCACATCCCTAATTAAGAACAGGTATGGAGCCCCTATAGAAACCCTATAACTACCTTACAAACCCATACAGTAGAAGCCCAAAAGTTGGAAGCCCAATAGCCTCAATCCTGAAGTGTAAAAATATACGGAATCTCCAACTAATTGTCCTTAATCCGATTTCCAACTTTCTGAGGTTTACTATAGTCGGGCCTCCTGCACGCCGGGACGGATAGTAGTTTGACGATATGGGTAGTTCTCTAACTTAGGGTCGCTTGTAGGGTCCTTTATCAGAGTGCCGTAATATTTGGGGTACCTAAGAAGGAACCGTAATTTACAGAACTACCCATATGAGGACTGTAAGAGGACAGCATTTTCAGGACCTCAAGAATCTCACAAAATGAACTTGAGCACGGTGTGGGGAGTTCGTCGAGGGTGAAGTTTTTGGATGAATGTGGCCTAAGCTCCCGTATCTGTGTGACTTGGGGCTTCAGGCAACTCCAGCTCATGTTGCAGTCTGAAGGGCTTGATGCAGTCTACGTTGCGCAGCTGGCCCATCTCGTCAAACTCGTTGTGAACGTCCAGCTGCATAGGGCACACTCGTGTGCACTGCCCGCATTTGAGACAAGCATCTGGATCAACCAGTGTGATTAGGGGTTCACACTTGTTCGAGTTCTTGCCGAAGATCTTGTGATGGATCCAGTGCATCGCAATTTGCCAGGTTCCCATTGGGCACACGTAGCAGAATGAGCGCGGGCCGAAAAGAATCCCCATGCCGATGACCATCGAAACAGAAATTAGCCACATCCGCGAGCCAATCATTGCGATCTTCTTCCAGAAGTCCGGGCCTTCGAAATCCTCCCAACACGCGCGAGCAGTAATCACCGCCATCACCAGCACAATGATTATCAAAAAGAATCAAGAAAATAGAATTTTGTGAATGATAGACTGGTAGACTCAGTAGATGCTAGTGACAGTGACGCGTTCAATTGTGAGCAATGGTGGCATGGAGCCATATCAAGCCCCACACCTAGAACAACGTTTACTGACCTTCCGCTTGCAGCAACTAGGAGCTGCATAAGTACTTGTAGCAGTTGCAGGAAGTCAAGCAATCAAGGCGGACGGTATTAGGAACTGCTGCCTGGTGGGCATTTTTCGTTACTGATTGTTATGATTATTCCTATTACTGTTTTTTACACTTATTACTATCATACATATTAGTATAGTACTTATTATTATCATACATAATAGTATACATATTATTATGGAGCCCCAACGAACAGCACTCCCCTTTGAAGCAATCGAATCAAGACCGATCCTGGCATTCCACACACGCCATGATCACGCGAGACACGAAGAACGTAATGAGGATGGCGAAGACCAGCAACCTGCTGGATTCGTGTTAAGGAATGTACTTGAACTTACCATCATAATTGCGATATATACTAACAACCATAATTGGAATCTATGCTGAGAACCATAATTGAGATCTATACTACATGTTATGGTGTCTTTATTATGGTAATTCCTCAACAACAACAACCCAGCCTGACTGCCGGGTGTTTGAGCACCTGGTCAAGGCGAAAGTTGGGTTAAGGGCTGGGGCCTAAAGGCAGGGCTCCTTGAAAGGGTTCCCTTGAGGGATACTATATGGGATGTCGTTGAGGGGCCTGAGTACTTAGAACAAGGTTTGGGAGCGGTTATACTATAATGATACTCGGGAACCATGAAACTGTACTTTTGTCATGCTCGGTGCAATCCCGACAGAAGTACAAACGTTTAGTGCAAAGCGCACCGACGCGCTGTTCTTGCATCCATCAAGAAATCACGAGCAACGTCAGGCACGCCTCCGGGATTTGGCCCACGGTGTCGGGGGCCCTTCGGATCAAGGGCAGCGCGAAGAGCTTCGCATGGATCATGCGGAGGGGGCCGTCCATGAGAGCGCCACGATCGCAGAAGTTACCGCACCACTCACGGCCCCGAAAGAAGCCCAACAGAGTGAGACCTGCCACACATCAGCTTCAAACTCTGTGGTTAATAAGTTAGGGTTGAAGCAATGCAGTGGCCTCTCAGTCCAATTGTGCTTAGGGGAGAACTTGCCTACCACCAAATAATACGAAGCACTGTAGTATACTGTTACTTTTTCTACTATACAACTATATTCTGCTGTAAGATACTATAATATGCTATGATGATGTACTAGAAAACTATGCTAAAAACTATGATATACCAAGCTGTGAGTTGAAACCCTCTGAGAAGTTTCTTGAACAACAGCCTGTCTCTCGTACAGCTGCATCTGAAACTCTCACCACCCTGAACATTAGACGACAGGGATTAGGGATTAGGGATCACTCTGACGGTACTATGATACACTGTAGTATACGAAATTAAACAAGAACATACTACAATTTACTGTAATACTTTTAAGTACACGCATCTCAAAGTCACCTGACATGATGGGCACCAGGACAAGGCCGAGCCATGGAAAGAAAAGGCCGCCGTAGGCCACTGCCAAGCAAAGGACCCAGTACACACGGCGGAACCAAGAAATGTGCTTGTAGTCCTGGCGGTAGTACGGCACCGTCTTGCCTGAGTGACAGGGGAAGTCGTTCTAACAGTTTTCAGCACATGCTGCATAACCGAAACGTTCATGAGTCAGGCAATGGTCATTCTTAATGTGGCCTCATGATTAATGAACACCATCCCGAAACAAGGATTATGCTAGGGAGCCTGCTTCTCAGCCCCTCAAAGACAATGAGTTGATGTATCAGATGTCCTCTTCAGTGGACTTCGGCTTAGCATTGTAGAACTCTTACACCCCAAAGAAATCAAAGCCCAAGCTTCATAGCGGCGGGGCGTGCACTGGCATCTTGACAACCACAGGCTCGTCACCTTCTGAACCCGAAACGTCCCTAAACCCTATAAGCCCTAAACCCCATGCTAACCCTCATAGATCCGTTTAGGGGAACCCTAAACCCTAAATCCCTTTCAATCTGGGGCTTGGGGCCTGAGGTAGTCGTCTGGAAGCCTTGAATCGAGGGTGTAGGGTGAGGGTTTAGGGTGGGGTTTGGGGTTTAGGGTTTAGGGGTTTAGGGTGTTGGGGTTTAGGGTTTAGGGGTTTAGGGTGTTGGGGTTTTGGGTTTAGGGTTTAGGGTCTACTGCAGGGACCTGAATTCTTCAGACTACTGTGGGTTGTGTTGTGTTCGCGCTGCATTTTGCTATAGTCTCTAGGGTAACCCTCACCAGTAGTACTGCCATGTAGGGTTTGGGGCTTTTAGGTTTTGGGGTTTGAGCCCTGTTATGGGGTTCTTGGAAGTACCTCACTGTATCGCCTCGGACACTTGCTTGAAATTGACGGCAATACGGGAGTCTTACAGACATGACGGCTCGTAATGACAAGCACCTACAAGAACTTTGTGAGTATACCTGTCGGGCACATACCCCTCAATGCTGAGTCCTCGGATGTTCTCAGCACCTCAGCACTTCTCTGTAGAATCGTTATTGCCGAAGCCTTTGAACGAAACACGGCCTCAGTCACAACTAGAACCGGGCATTGGGGTATGTGGAACAATACCTACAATTAGGAACCCACGGTTGGAGGTTCATGGGCAGTATAAGTGGGGTTATAAGTAGGGTAACTATAAGCATAACCCATGTTAGGGGACTTCTAACCCTACTTATAGCTATAACTACTGTTGATGATATAAATCCTGCATTACCTTAAGGACCCTAAACTATGGGAATTATGGTATATTCCTTATAATGGGTAATGCAGGGTTTATATCATCAACCGTACCCATGAGCCTTCAGACCTGAACCCCCTAGGACCCGTAAAACCCCAAGCCCCAAAAAGCCGCAAACCCACCCCTACATGAAGGCTCTCCCTAGCACCTCAAGCGGGCCCACTACCCCCGGTCGCGGCATAGTGCTCAAATTTTGGGACTAGGATTGAGCGCATCCTCAAATGATATGAAGCAAAGGTCTTTCTTACCTGTATCCCTGAATCGAGCCAAGAATATACGCCCACCAATGTACATGAGGACCTCCATGTACACTTGCCGATATCCCTATTGTAGCCCTAGTTCACGTGAGGACCCTTCTACCATGTAAGGGATATCCCACTTTCATGCAAGGGGTCTTCCCTATTTCGAGTGTAGCGGGCTCGCCTCCAACCCGAAGTGTTAAAACCCCTGCTTGCCCCGGGCACCTTGCGCCGCCGCCATAACTCGAGGAGCATTGTTGTACCTTTTGCAGCTTGCTCTGGACATCCACCCGCGATCCTAAAAATGCGAACTCTTACTCCAAAGTTCAGGGTTTAGGGAAGAATTTTAGTCGAACGGAGTACAACAGCTTCTAGATACTACTGTAGCGGTCAGGGCCAGCATGGCTCAATGCAAAGTAATGAGGTTGTTTTGGGATTCAGGGGCTGAGGGTGTTCGACAAGAAAAGTAAGCTTTAAACTTCAGCCGGAAACTTCAACATCATATCCTAAGCCTAGAAGAACTGAAAACCCTTGACATGGTAGTTTTCGAAAATGGGGGGACCCTGATATAGTACCCTTATCGTAGGATCCTTATTGTAAGGACCCCAGGATATGGTACCCCCTAATATTCGGAAACTCCCAGATGGTAAACGCCACGATGCTTCAGGGGCGCTCCCACAGCACCGCCACACCTGCCAGCAGGCCAATTACAGGGAACAGCCTCTGAAACCCTGATGGCTCAAAGGAGTGGGTCAGAGAGGATGATGAAGTACTAACTGTGATGATAAAAATGTTAGCTACAACTAGACTGTAATGTGATAATACAGATGACAGCGAGGGTAAGGCTTGTTGATAAACTGCTCCTGATCCTGGAAACACTGCCTGATGAGGATTGGTGTATGGTTTATGCATCTCCAGCCGTTCGTGTTTATATGGTTTTGGGCTCAGGGCTTCGAGGGCTGAGTGCCCTGGGTTTGTGGAGCCTCGTGCATTTAGAGGGTCTAGTTCGTGGTTAGGATAGTACTAAAAATTTCACATGTTTATCCCTTATTGCATTAAAGTACCCATAAGCATTCAAAACGTTACCCGACTATGACAAAGGGTTAGCATCAAGCGTCCTTTGGGCTTTATTCCTCTTTCCTGCTTGTCTGTGGCCAAGATTTCACTCTCAACGCTTAGGGGTTCAGGATTACGACACGTTCGATGCAGGGCCAAGTAGTAATAGTGTCTCAGTGTTGACCCTTGTTGTTGTTAAAGCCGGGCTTGTGATTAGCCACCGTATGTGCAAGAGCATCACTAATTCGGTAGGCGCTGCTCACCAAACCATATGCTCTCAAGACCTTAACCGTGGATGACTGTTAGGATGCTGAGACTTTCCTTGATGCTCAATGCCTAAAGTCTTAGAACTCAGATAGATCCGTCTTAAGGAACCCTTATGGAACCCGTATAGTTCCCTCAAAGGCACCCCTATAGAACCCGTCATATAGATCCCTTCCAAAGAACCCTATAATATAATGTAGGCGCCTTAATAATTAGAATAGGGTTTGGGGGTATAGTATACTATAATTATAATAGGGGGCCCCCACAACCCTATTCTGATGATTAATTAAGGCCCCTAAATCATAGAGATCGCTTCGCTAGTTACTAAGGCCCCTAAATCATAAAGATCCCTTCCAAGGAACCCTAGTTTATTAAAGGCCCTAGATCATAGAGATCCATCCTAATTTATTAAAGGCCCTAAAACATGGAGATCGCTTCGACGGACAGCCAATTATTAAAGCCCTAAATCATAGAGATCCCTTCGAAGGAACCCTAATTATTAAGGCCCCTATATCACAGAGATATCCCTTCGAAGGAACCCTCCCTCAGGCCTTGCATCGACGATCCTTTCTTCCAGGATCTGGTCTGCCATGGCAACGGAGGCGCCTCGCACTGATCCACAGCTACCTGCACCTTTGAGCAAAATGCTTGAGGGTTAGGGCTTAGGGTTTAGGCAAACACTTGCAAGTGAACATGTCCGACGGTGCCGTGTGACACATCCACATCCCTTTCGATGTAGGCTTAGGGTTTAGGGGTTTAGGGTTTAGGGCTTGCAACATGACACGTTTTAGGGTTTAGGGTTTAAGGTTGGGGTTTAGGGTTTAGGGTTCAGGGTTGTGTTTAAGGCTTAGGGTTTGGGTCTTAGGGTGAAATAGCGGGGGTGTGTATCAGTGTGTGTCAGTGAGTGGCAAATCAATCACAGAATGAGCTTCAGTCATGCTGTATGAAACCGAATGTCATGGGTTGTAAGTCTTCTGGCCCCAACCCTAAACCCTAAACCTTCTTCTGGCCCCACTACTTCTAAAGCTCAATGTCCTAAACCCCCAAGTCTCAGCCCACCCCAAGTGCTAACCCAAACTCCTACTTGGAGGGTCGGGGGACTTAGTAATTTTAGGGACTTATAAGTACCATAACCCCAATTAGGGTCCCTTTTAGGGTACTTATAAACTCTACTTACTACCTACTTACTAAGTCCCCCCACCCTCCAAGTAGTCGCTTTTTGAAGACACAGAGCGCTGAAGCACGATCGGACTCGTCTTTGAACTCAAGGTTTCTTTAGGGTTTGGGGTTCTTGGGTTTAGGGTTTAGGGTTTCAGGTTTAGGGTTTCAGGTTTCGGGTTTAGGGTTTCGGGTTTAGGATTCTTGGGTTTAGGGTTTAGGTTTGGGCTTTAGGCGTTTAGGCTACCGTTTTCAGGAGGCCCTATTATATTGACACCTTAGCCACTGAGTGGGGACACCCATCGCTCCCGGGCCTGAGAGGGTGGTGAGTGGCGCCCGCTGCTGAAGCTCTGACACGCCATTTACGACCTTCCGACGGGTTTAGGGTTCAGGGTTTAGGGTTCTATGTCGGTGGGGTGGTTGTGGCTCTAGAGCTCCATGTCCTGGGTGTCGGGTCTATATGCATAATCAGCGGTGAGTGGTCATACTACGAGGAGTAGCTGAACATCAGTAGTAGTCGCGGGGCGCGCTGGACTTCAGCATCAGGGCTTTCTTTGAGGGATTCTTATCCAGGTACGTACTAGCAGGGCTTTACAGAGGTTTTAGAAGGGTACCAGAAGTGGTTTAGAAGGGTTCTGTTGAGGTTCTTTCGAGGTTCTGTAGAGTGGGGCCCCTCCAAAAGTGATCTGAAGCTAACAGTCATAGAGTTTGAGAGTATAGGAAATTATTAAGGCACCTATGTTAAACACTTAAAGCCTAAGCCACGGGAGGGAGGATCCCAAATCCCAAACCACTCACTGAGCCCTCCAAACCACGAGCTTGTAAGGTGAATCCTTGCGGTTTAGGGTTAGGGTTTAGGGTTTAGGGTTAACCGCAACTTGTAAGATGAATCCATAGCGCTATGCTTATAGTACGAATCTCCGCGTTACCCAAGCCCTGTTGTTCAGGCAGCAACAATACACCCTGAAGCCCTAACCCTAAGCCCTAAACCCTCAACCCTCCAAACTTTCGGGGTCCCGGCAGGCACAGCCGTCACAGCGGTGGGCGGTGTGACAACAGGATACCCCCGAGCGATGCACGGGACCTTGTTGGAATGCGGGGTTTCAGCTTTGGGACTTAGTATTTGGGAGTTCCCGAAAATGAAACGGGACCCTAATATAGGACCCCAAATAGTAGGATCCTTATTATAAGGACCCCAAAATAAGGTGCCCTAATTTTCGGAAACTCCGAGTTCAAGCTCATTGTGCAGAGCTTCGGGTTGCTCGCAGTATCGAGGAACTGATCAACAACAGAGGTTGCAGTAATTGGACCGTGGCTTCGGCTCATTTTGAAACATGACTGCGGCTATAGTGCTAATTATAGGGGATACTGTATGACTGTGGAATAGCGTAAACCTCAGTGCTCCAAGCGAAGCCCGTAACTCCCAAAGAAGCGCTGCAAGAATAAGAAAGCCTACCCATTAAGCCATTGAACCCTAAATCCCAAACACAACCACGGTTGCCGGTTTCGTTTACTGGTCAGGCAACTAGTGCACCCTGACTCGGACATGTTCTGAAGACCACTCGTCGACGTGGTGCTCTCGAGAGGTTGTGGGGGGGCGGGGGGAGGTGGGCAAGGGAGAAATTCCAGGAGCCTTAACTACAAAGGTCTTGCACAAACAGCCCCCAATCCACTCCTGAATGAAACTCAAACCCCTCTGAATGCCCAGCAAGACTTGTAAAACCCTCCTGTATACTTTCGCTCAATAAAGTTGCCTGCTTAGGGTCTGCAGGGGCGCTAAGGGCTGCAAGAAGCTGAAGCTTCGATGTCTCACATTTCTGGGCTACTAGAGGGCATGAGTAATCAGGACACTATACCCGAATTCGAATAAGGAACCACAAAATAGTACTGGTCACTATTTAGCGCCCTGTTGCAGGTGATGGCAATCGCCTTCACTCTTCTACCACTGCACCGTACCGACAGTGACCGCTGCTACAGCAACCACGAACACGACCAGCATCTCGCGATTACGACTTCTCACTATAACTAACAACACGTAAGTATCATTCAATTGTCACCATAACCCTAAATAAATGCCTAAACCGGCCCCTAAACCCTAATCGCCTAAACCGTACATCCCTAAGCCCTGAGCCCGCTGGTAGCTACTGCCCTCTGAGCCGGCTGCCGACCGCACATCAGGGACACCTGGCTTAGGGTTCAGGGCTCAGCTTAGGGTCTCGGGTTGGGTTTACGGTTTGGGGTTTAGGGCTTAGGGTTTAGGTTTCAGGGTTTGGGGTGTAGGGTTTGGGGTTTAGGTTTCAGGGTTTGGGGTTTCGGGTTGATAAGGGCAGGGGATATTGGGCTTCTTTGTCCAGCTTTTTGAGGGAACTGTAGGTGAACCTTTGGGATCATATGTAGGTCCCGTGGGGGGCTCGGGAGGTAGGGCGCTGGAGCAAGAGATCAGGCTTCGGGTGTGGGGCTTGGGGCTCGAAGTTAAGAGTTCTTTTTTTTTAATGTGAAGTTAAGAGTTCAGGGTTTAGGGTTTAGGGTTTGGGGTTTAGGGATTTTAGGGTTTAGGATTAGAGTTCAGGGTTTGAGGTGTGTGTCGTCGCCAGACCGAGCACGGGCAGCGGTGGACGTCATGAAACCGAAAGCATCGCCACTGCCAATGCTATATCCCGAAACTCCAACCCTACGGTCAATGCTGAATCCTCCGGCCCCACAGCCCTTGATTTCTCGACACCGAAGCTTAAACCTGCTGAAGCCCTCCGATCGGATGTGCGA